AGCGCTCCGGCTGCTCGCTCTCCTCCGGCGCCCCCTGCGACGCTCGTAGTCGCCGCAGCTCCTCGGCCTGAAGGGGCACACGACCAAGTTTAACGCACGAGCCTACTTTTTTTTTCTTCTTTTCATTGGCAGACCAAACGCAAGCGTAAGAATATCATAAAGCAACGTAATTAAAACATGTGAGAGCATAGGCTTCCGCGGCCGGAGTCAGTATTTAATAGGCTGACCGGGTGACGCCGCGTATATGGCGAAGGTGCCCGTTTCTCTGGCACCTTCGCCATGGACGCGGCGTCACCCGGTCAGCCTAGTAAATACTAATTAAAACATTCGAAATTATGAAGAAGACTGTAAATAATCCATTGTCCATTTTAATCATCAAATAATTCTAAAATAAAATATAATAATGTGGGAACTACACATTGGTATTCACACAATAAAAGGTTTCATGTTTTATGATTAGAATGACTGACTTATTTTGTATTTCTGGTTTTATATTAATGTTCTGATTGAAATGGACTATTTACCATTATCAACGTATTTTGTATTTTTTAATTACCTTGATTTATGTTAACTTTTTTCACGTATAACTGAAATATACGGTATTTATAGACATTCAGCAAACATTATCCGAACTTTAAATGTGTTTAAAACTCCCAGTAATAAAGGTCCCTATTATTTTCACAATCGAATTATCACATTTGTCTATAAATTCATATATCTTTTTGAATTTAAGTTTTATGTTTTAAAATTTAGAGATAATTTTCATATCCATTTTGATTGGATATGTTTAAAATTTGAATGTTAATACGGGGTCCATAGTTGGTCCCGATTACGGTCCTGCTTACCACCCTTATCACCACAAATAATGTGTAGGATAAGTACCCATTTGTAGAAATGTCGAGAAATGATGTACAAAACAGTACTTATGGTACATTCCATTTAAAAATACACACTTATGTTCAGAATGTATCAGAATGCGTGCTGCATTTTTGCATACCTCTTCTCTGGACATCTCACTAACACAATTCTTACTACTGCGATTTCTTTGCAAAGTCATTCTCTTAGCTGTTAAGGCCTGAATAGCAGTATTACCAACACCCACCCTCACTCATATTTACCCACCAATTTTTCTCTTCATCCTTACTTCTTTCCTGTTAAGTATTCATTCTTTCTTTACATTCTTACTTTGACAACCAATGACAAAACATTAATTAAAAATTATTCATTTCTTTACGTATTGTTTACGTAAAAATTATTTATTTTAAACACAATGCAATCTGATTTAAGTAATACTATGAACAAATTACTTTGGGATAGTTTTAGTACATCACCACTCTTATTTTATATCGTTCCATCGACATCGTTGTGGAATGTAAAATGTTAAAGCTTATCTCAATCGAAAGATAGGGTGCATCGCAACTAGCTGGACATTTTGAAATGCCAAGGAATGTTTATTGCTCTGTGATAATTGCACTCTTCGAGGTCGTTTCCCCCGTAATGTGGCCCCATCTTGGAACCTCCGTGAACTGTTTACGAGCAGTGAAAAAAGTGTTGTAGCGCTGAACGTCACAAAATGCCATTAGGCGGTGAAAATCTTTCCTCGACACACGATAAAACACGAGTATCAGCGAGTGGAAATCCCAAACTATTAACCTAAATGCGATAACAAGTGGGCCGACTTGAGAGCGTTCCATGCATTCCAGCATGAACGACGACTCCCAGTCATTAGACGAAAGGAATAGCAATCTGCACTCCCGATAATTTGGCATTTCAAAAGTCCTTAAGAGTATTAAACAAGGTTTGGACACTACTTTTATATGACATAAAAAACTAATCTATGCAAGTCTACAACAGTTTGTGATTCGTAACATCTTGTCTCCAAGAAAGTATTTCAATATTTTATTCTTCAATGATGTTAAATGTATCTAATAAGCATTCATTATTCACATCTGTCAATTGTAAATTGTAGAAGAATGCAAATACATTAACAGCAAAAAATGCAAGGTTTTTGCGCATTGTACGAGCGAGTGAGAGAGTATTTACAGGTGTTCCTCTCCTGGTGCATGAACTACCAAGTACTAAAATGTTAGTGTTTGAGCGTTTGAGACCGCGAATGTCCCTTGTGAGTGTTACGCATTGCACTTTCCAGAATGCGAACTCTTGAATGAACATGCCATTCCACAGGAAGTAATTTCCATTTTCCGGTTCTGGTTAATGGCCTCTACAATAAACACACGCCATTCTGCTCCCGCCAACCACCACTTAACACCGCCATCTGTCATTCTCATTCTTCACATTCTTACTTGGCCCCCAAAATCGTCAAGATTTCATCCCCCTCATTACATCGCGTTGTAACACCTGTCCTTTCAATTTCACTATATGCCTACGTACAGATATATCTATTAATATCCACCTCTCCCTTCCTCACTCACATACCCTATTTCTCATTATTCCCTGCCCTCTCATTCCCTCCCTCTCTGCCCTCTCATTCCCTTCATCCCTGCCCTTTCATTCCTCTCTCCCTCTTATTCCCTTCATCCCTACCCTCTCATTCCGTCCTTATCTATCATTCCCTTCATGCCCTGCCCTCTATTCCCTCCCTATCTATATTTCCTTCCTCCCAGGCTTCGTCATTCCCTTCCCTCCCTGTCTCTCATTCCCTTCCTCCTTTCCTCTGTCAATTCCCTTCCTCCCTTCCTCTCATTCCCTTCCTCCCTTCCGTCTCTGCTCCCTTCCTCTCTGCCTCCCTCTCTGCTCCCTTCCTCGTTCTCTTTCCTTCCTCTGTTCTTCGCCTCTCTTCCCTTCTCCAATCCACACTCATCCACTTCTCGAACCACCCCTCCTTCTCTTTTCTCCCTGCCCTCTTTCTCCCTAATTCGTCTCCCTTCTCTCCTTTCCTCCTTCCTCCGCCCGTCTCTCCTGCGCGCTGATGGTGGCGATCCGCGCTCGACGAGCTGCCGCCGGATAAGGCGCTGCTCCTGGCCGCATGGCGGCGCCTCGAGGGCGGTGAGCGCGCGCAGCACGCCCGTGCCAGCTGGCGGTCGCGCAGCGCGCGCTCGGCGCGGGCGGGCTGGCGCTCGCGCTTCTGCGCAGGGGCCGCGCGCCCAGCGCCGCCACCAGCAGCCGGCAGCGCGCCTCCTGGCGGCGCAGCGCCGAGCGCGCGCCCTCCAGCTCCTTGCGCAGCGCCGCCGCCTCCGCCGGCCCCGCCGACGCGCCGTTCATCGCCTCCGCGCCCGGCGCGCGGCCGGCCGCGCTGATGCCCGCCAGCTGCAACACAAGCCGCTCTCTTAGCCCATCAAACCGTTTCAATAAAACGCAAATGTGCAAGGCCAATATGTTGAAAATACAAGTGGGAAATATCACACGGAAAAAAAGAACAGTTCCAGAATGCCAGATCCATGATACTGTTCTTTCGTTTCCGCGAGCTTGTTTATAGGCAAGTCGCGGCAAAATGGAAAGTTCAATTGGATAACTGAAATTTGAAATGTGAGAACTCATATGAATGGGTAAGAACCATAACGGTATAAGTGACATTTTATAAATTCTGATAAATTTGTTTATTTAAGGCAATATCACCGGAAAGTTGTGGAGTCTCGTTTCATCATTAAAATCACGGCAATTCATTTGTTCATTAAAACCACGAAAATACATTGCCACTGACATATTTTCTAAAATAAACACGTTTTTCTCAGAATTTATAAAATGTCACTCATACCGTTCTGATTTTCACCCATTCATATCATTGTTGTCTTGTTTGTTCTTTTACTTAGACGCAAATGCAATAATGAAACGGTTCTAAATTATTCTTATAATTATATAATACACATTTCTTGGATCTTTATTTTATGGCAGAACGTTCGACAAGCAACAACATCTATAAGAGCTGTGAACGAATAAATATCCCACATTTTACTAATCATATTTGAGAAGCAAATGTCGTCAGTATTGAAAAGCGGGGTAAAATATGATATTGAAAAAATAAAACTCTTCCCTTAATGTCAAAGTAAAAAAATGGTCATTGATTTGATGTCAACATATTTTACAAATCATGTTTATAATAAAAATATAATTTGCTGTCAATAATCTACTATTCAATTTTCTAGAGTAATTATCTTCTTCTCTTTCGAACGAATAAGAGACCGAATAATTTCCATGAAACTTTAATTTATTAAAGTCTGGTTTTCAATTTCTTAATTACATCTCTGAAAACATTGAAGACAATCAGGTTATCAATTTCTATGAATTTTTTAAATGTCTGACAATGCGAAGTGAAAAGGGAAAAGACACCTTTAGACCGTTCTTCTAACGTCGACCTCAAGTGTTCAGGCACGCAAATAAACCAGGAAACGAGTCCTGCGTCAGCGTTGAATAGTGGGACGAGACGCTGCGCTGAGCACGTCCGTCATCCCAACGCTGAGCGCCATGAAAGACTGGCAATGAATCATCAATGGAAAGAGACGGCGAAGAAGAAGTTAACGCGACGGAGAGAACCCGCTTTGTGCAAAGACTCGCACACAGACGCGACTAAGAAAATCGAAGGAGCGTGAGAGAAGCCCTGACAATCACGGTCCATCGGTCGCTCGGAGAAGCCATTCGTTTCGGTACAGTCGTCGCAAACAACGCCACCACGCGCCTGCTGCTCAAACTACTGTGTACCGCCATGCTGCGCTGTAGAAAGGGTTGCCGATTCGCAACATCGCAGGGGCTTAGTTCCAGTGTTGATCACAGGAGGCGCCATCCAACTGTTTCCAGAGCGCGCTGCGATCAGCCAGGCATTTCTTCCCAACTTTGTTCCAATAGACTTGGTTAACCGACAACAATTAAATGTACCAACCTCTTAAGTTTTACGACAATGAACAATTTAACGGTGCCAGATAATCACAAGGTCGCAGCAATGAACGTTTCCATTCATTGAGCGGTACAGTCAACACGTTTAGGATTAGGAAATTGACTTAGTTATCATAGTAGAGATAAAAAAATTGAGGAAATCAGGAAGCTGTGTAGAAACAGCTGACAACAGAGCTCTATATTTCTGAATCTAAATTTCAATTTTTTCAATCTAAAAATTTGCACGTGAGTCTTTCGTACAAAATATTTAGTTTTTCGATTTCAAATTGGCTAATACAGATTTGTTTTATTCAAGATACAAGTAATTCGCGGCCACAGCAGCGGGATAAAATACTGCTGTAGGAAGTTGAAAGATATCCTATGTTTAAAGATTTCAACCGACGTTTGATTGATATTTTAGTATTGCCCTTAAATCGTTGAATTAATGATTTCTTGTTAAAGATCTACGTACCCCGAAGTAATTCGGAACAAAATTTATATCAGATTTGGTTTTCTTCATAGATGTTAAAATTAAAAGTAGGTATGAGAAATTACCACGATACTACTATATTATTTCAAATGATACGAAATGGTCATATCAATATTCGCACACATTTTAATAAGCTGTTTATCATTTAAAATGAAAACAACATTTATGTGGACGTATTCTGCTAAACTTTATGCATCAATACCTGTGATTTGTCTCAAATATATTGATTTATACACACATTTTTAAAGGTTACACTGATTTCAAATAGAGCACAAACCTCTCAATATTTGTTAAAGAACTTAAAATTTTCTCAACTTTCATTTTGACATAACACGAAAGCAATTTACAAACAAAAGTGCTGAATAAATTTTAGTGTATCGTTCATGACAGGAATATAAAACTTTCTCCATCCTAAAATGAAACAACACACACACACACAAAACATAACACAAAAGAAACGTAGAAAAACAAAATTCTGGAAAGGCCACTGGTTAGCATCACTGGAAATTCTCGCCAGGGTAGCAGTCATAGGTAGAAACACGAAGCCAAACATCGACCAACAGGCTGGAGTGACACGTCGCGAACCATGCCGGGCGGGAGGCGGGCCGGCGGCGGGCGTCGGGCGTTCGGGCGTCGGGCGTCGGGCGTCGGGCGTCGGTCGTCGGGCGTCGGCGTACGGGCGTCGGGCCGTCGGGCGTCGGGCGTCGGGCGTTCGGCTCGTCGGGCGTCGGGCGTCGGGCGTTCGGCGTCGGGCGTCGGGCGTCGGGGCGTCGGGCGTCCGGGCGTCGGGCCGTCGGGGTCGGCGTGGGCGTCGGGCGTCGGGCGTCGGGCGTCGGCGTCGGGCGTTCGGGGTCGGCGGCGGGCGTCGGGCGTCGGGCGGCGGGCGGCGGGCGGCGGGCGCGGCGACGGGCGGCGGGCGGTCGGGCGGCGGGGCGGCGGGCGTCGGGCGTCGGGCGTCGGGCGTCGGGCGTGGCCGTCGGCGCGGGCGGCGGGGCGGCGGGCGCGGGCGGCGGGCGGCGGGCGGCGGGCGGCGGGCGGCGGGCGGCGGCGGCGGGCGCGGCGGCGGCGGGCGGCGGGCGGCGGGCGGCGGGCGGCGGGCCGGCGGGCGGGCGGGCGGCGGGCGGCGGGCGTGCGGGCGGGCGGGCGGCGGGCGGCGGGCGGCGGGCGGCGGGCGGCGGGCGGCGCGCGGCGCAGCGAGCCGTGGCTGCGCTGAGCCCAGACGTGGCGTGGCAAAGAGTGCGCAGCCGCCGCGCGACAACGGGAACTCGCTCTTCCCGCGCCGCCGCAGCTGCTGCTTTCTGCGCGCGCAGAAATCACGGTCTCGCGCTTTCCGTGAATCTGGAGAAGAAACTTGTCCCTCCGCCGAACCGACTTATCCCCCCGAGCAAGTACAGGGTCACGGTGAGAGTTTCGTGGAACACGAAACACGAGTCTTTCGAAGGACTCCACATAGTATTATCGTAATTGAATATTCACGCAGTGACAGTACACTGGAAACTACGATCAACGTTTAGAGTCAGAGGACCGCATCAGTGGGTAAACAAAATGAACTCGGAGTGGTCATTACTTTAAAAGAACAAAGGAGATAGTGGTAATGCATTGGTATCTGCTAGTCAAATAACGAGCGAAGTGATCTAAATGAGAATAGTTATCCTGTCCTTTGAAGTTTCTTCGTTACGTTGCTAGAATTCCAGTTGCTTAATGGGGTTCATAGGTCAACATCACTTCAGTGAATGGAAGTGTCTGCTACTCAAAATGACATTCTTTCGCCGTAGACGCTGGATAATAATTCTTTATTTTATGTTTATACTGGCAGATTATAACATTGTTAATTCCAAAAATATTGTTATTAATCGGCATTAAGATAAAATACTTCAACGATAGAAATAACAGAAATCCATAATCTAAAGCAAGCCGTCCAAATATGTAGGACAACACATGTATTCTCTAAGAAATATTGTTCGTTTAAAATATATTTAACATATTTCTGAATAAATAAAATTAAATACTTTATATGAACTTTCTTGAAATCAATTATCGAAGTAGACTAATTGGTTCATTGCTTATTCTTTCCCAATTATTAATTATTAATGCGTAATTTAGTGATCCTCTAAGACATACTTTTCCTAAAAAGAAGGTCCTGACTAGTCCTTGATTTTTCTTTCCCATACGAATTCGTTGAACTGATGACTTTCTACCCTTGGATTTCCACTCCCAGTTCACTGGATTGAGGGCGACGAAAAACCGCAGATCCGTTCGTCTCAATTGCTCACGCAAGCTCTCCGAATAAAAACTGGATAATTCTTCAAAACGTGTTCCTTGGGCATGATCGTTGCACACATTCCAACTTGCATGCAAATGGATTCTACGAAAAGTCAGCTGGAAAAACATTCGCTCTAAGAACTCAAATATTTTCCAGCCGCTTCACCAAACCCTAGACCTGACCAACAGATGCTACCTTAAGCTGTTGGCTTCTAGCCACGAACATGCAAGGAGCGTCGGCATTGGTAATTGCCATTGGTTCGTATCCTGGTAAATTCCTGGTTTTATATGCAACATCTGACGACGAACGTGGAGAGTTGCGGAAGAATAATAAACAAACATTTGAACTCTCTGGAATGAGACACACCTTTCTCTTGCGACTACGGAAACCAATCAGTGTATTTTAGATAAATTCTAATTTTAATGGGATAAACATCAAAGTGTAATGAAGTAATCAAATAATTTAAACTTATCGCCATTAACATAAATATTCAAAATTAAACAAAACTGACTTCTTTTCGATTTGGGTTTTTTGCCTTTTTCGTCATAATTACACATAATGTTCTTTGGAATTTGGGGCTATTTATTAGGTTACTCTCAACCTTTGGACTGCATTTTTGGTGTTAAATTGCATAAAAAAGCGCGAAACGAAATGATAATACACACAACATATAATGAATACCAATATCATTATGAAGTCATAAGGGGATGTATAATTTTATGAATTAGAAGTAGCAACCAATCAGTTGAAAGCAAATTTTCTTGTATCAGTTCTCCCATAAGATTTGAATGCTTCTTATCCATTGTTTCTAGTCACAGGCCAATGACAGAGCAGAAATGTTATGAGAGCGGCAATCGTCACTCAAAACCACATGGGCGATAGCAGTTCTCAGTACAGCGGAAGGAACCCACTGCGGTTGCAGTTCCTTGTTATCAAACAACATGCTGACTTACGTTTAGTAATAAGATTTCCCCGTTGGAGTTCGTAGGAGCACGTTTATGTCATTCACTTCGTAAAACGTGAGTTCACAAAACATCAAACGGCGAAAGAAATTTCTGCTAATAATGCGAAGATGACAGAGAATATGACACAACAAAGAATCTTGAAGAATAACAGTAAATGTTTAAGACGTAAAACGAGTTTAATACAATGGTTAATCGCAAATTATTAAATGGAGATATTCCACACATATTTTGTAATAAAAACAATAATAGTATCTTTCATAATTATGAATCACATATTAATTTTTTGTGTTGACCAATAAGAAAAACGTTTTGTCAAATCTGTAGCTTCGTCAATAGTGACGTAAGGAATGCTGTAACTCGTCCCAGGCAGTAAAATTCACGTCTATGCACCGGAAAACCCGTTTGACCTAATTACTCCCGGCAGACTCCCTGAGACCGGTCGCGAAGACACGTAAGCTCAAATTTGCATCTAAATGATCGGAAGATGAGAGGCTGAAGCAAATGAGACTAGATATTCGGTCCTCGTAAACAGACAGAAGTAGAAAATAAGAAATGTGCTCACTCCACAGTTTTATTGAGGATACTTCCCATTTACATGGGTTTTTGCACATTCCGCGTCTCTTGAATTTTCAGATTTATTTTCTTTCTTTTATTGCATTCGATTCTACACGAACTATTTTGGATTATGTATATGCGATAAAAACAAATGTAACTGACAATTAAAATTATACGCACTGACAAAGAATTTATACGATATCTATTACTCGTATATAATACAAAATTGTATATAAAGAATCTATCTACTTTTTGAAATCCCATTTCCATTCAGAGCAAACAGAATTACGAAAAAAGCGCAAGCATTACAAAAATATTAGTGCCAATAAATTTATAGGCAAATTCATAATGTTATGTTAATTATCATTACATCACACACAAATGTGACATTTTTGACAATCAGACGAAATCATAAGTACTGTTAATTAGAATAGTACTACACGGAAAAACACTATTCTTATGTCAAAAGGAATATCACAAGAACCTAAAATAGCCGAAAGTCATTGACCAGCCGAACTGTTTGGTAAACACTCGCTTTGTTTTCTCCGCGTAAATCATAACACAATCGTCTTCAAACATGAAGCGCGCGTTTTGTTTCCTTCTGCCTACAAAGCCCTTCGTGCAGCAGTGGGAGCAAAAGAAGCACATAGGATGCAAAGCAGCGATCCAGCGCTTGAGGCAGGTGCCTTACCAGAGCAGCTGTCATCGGGCCACGGTGTTGCCTCGAGGGCGTCCGGCAACGAACTGACAACGCGAAGGAAGTGGCGTGGGGCTCGGCGGCGGAGGAGGCGGCGGCGGTGGCGCTAGCGAGAACAGCGCGCGTCAAAACAAGTGCCTCCGTCGCAGCGCCGCCCGCTGGCTTGACGTCATGCATTCCGGCTGAGACAGCGCGACGGACGGTCGCTCGTGACTCAATGTTGCGGCCGCGCACGCACCTCGCGAAGTGGCCCGACGTGGCTTTTGCCGATCGCGCGGATTTCGTCACAAGACGAAACCAGCCGCGCATCCGTTTTGGGAAGATGATTTACCGTTTCGTATGAATCTCCTCAAATTAATAGAGACATCATAAATATTACAGCTCTAAAGAGAACGATTTTGATGCGCCTCCTAATCGACTCCCAGTGAACGGTTTTAAACAAGTGAGGTACAAAAAAAGAGTAGAGGTCGCTATATAATGAATAGGCAGCTTTCCTATATTAATAAAAAGCTACGAAATTCCCGTTGTTTGAAATGTACGGCTACAATGGAAACAGGAAGATGGCTTCGTGCGCAACTCGGCAAGTTCGCAGGAAATGGAAAAGCAGCTGGTCTTGTTTAGAAAACATCGTGTTGTGTGATCGTTAAAATGATTTTGACTATTAGTTTCGATGTACATTCTTAGATATAATTCTTGTGATACCTACGGGAAGCATTAAAGAGGTGAGGCCGTTCTGATTATTGTTTGGAAATTGTATATTCATACATTGTGTTGGTGATGACATTAAAAAATTCAGTTGTTACATTGAGGAAAGGTTGATAGTAGGATTTGCTATTATAGGCTAGATCAATATCCATGTATACCCTAAGTGAAAATATCTCGATAAATATAAACCATACGTATATTCATGGATATGCAGTATTTTCTGTCGCACCTTTTCTACAGCTCTTGTTCCGTGCGATGTAACCCGATGCAATCGCTCGGGTTTAGTTGGTTTACAATGAATATGTGAAATGAATTCTACGCTGGAGTATTGGCGTCTGGTCCAGATAAAAACAAAACAATTAGTTTTACGAAGACCCAACCACAGGACACACTCACAGGAAAAGAGTAGAAATAAAATTACGGAGGCACGTGGTCCTTACACAGGATCCAGGATATCTAGAAAATTCGCAGATGGAAAAAAACAGTGTTAACTATTTAAACATATAATGCACAATATTTTAAAATGGTATGGTATCACAGTAAATATTGAATTACTTAAGATTTTTTCTAGAATTAATCATAAAACAAATCAGGTATCATCTACATATTGATACATATGAAGTCGCCATCTTACTGCACAGAAAAAACAGTCAACATCATTTGCGGAAATGAAATGTATTCATCTTGGATCATATTGTTTTCAATTCAAAATCCTATTAATTCTCCCCGTCTACCTAAAACTCGGATGGAATATTGAAGAATTAAAAGGAAAATGTTTACCGACTTCGTGTTCAATATTTTCAAAAGAAATGCTACTTACTGCAATTCCTTATTATACAGTGTTTCAATGAACAAAAAAGTCAGAACATTGCACCCATTTCTTGGGAACCTTAGAAGATTTCAACAAGCTATTTTTAGCTGACCCGGACTTAAAATGCAGCTGGTCTTTCCAACTGTTGGCGTCATGAGGGACTATGAAGTGCCTACGGGATGTTTGTCAGCGTGTTTTCGTGTTCTCAAACAGCTGCACTCGGGTCAATTCGCAGCGAGGACGAAGCTACGACAATAAAATGAATCATTCATGCAGATAACGAGGCGAATTGACCCGGCCCGCCTCTAAGCGGATGTTCATGAATGAATTCGGGTCCCCTTTGTTCGTCCGAATCTCATTTGACGATTCAATTTTCAAGCAAAGTCCGTGTAATTAAGCCAAGTAATGCAGATGTAATGGAACATTCATAGATAAGGTGTGTTAAGATAGACGGCCTACATATCCAGGAAATCGCTGACAGGTGTAAGCTCCTTCACATTGCACCACGTGAAACAGGCACACACCTGCACGGGTGACCTTCTCACCAGAGTCCGGTGCGGGAATTCATAAAGAATGCGACGCTGGCGCAACACGCCGGGCGTTCGCGCAACCCTTAAAGCAACTTTCCCATTTCGTCCTCTTCTGTGAACTGTCATTTGGAAGAACAAAAGACGAATCTGAATTTTTAATGAAATATTTGGAATAAAAGAGTGATAACCAATGATGTTTCTGTCTGCTTTATGCGAATCTGTTTGGTTTCGAAACATTAATTTTCATTTCAATGAATCCAATGTCTACCAATTTCCTATCAATTCTTCGTCTTGCACATTTCAGATGCTGCCAGGGTAATGAGGATATAATAACGTAATTAGGAGCGGTATCTGATTTAAACTATCTCTTCGGGGATAACTGAACTCTTATAAGAATGTATGTCTGCAAGTATGACCTCGTGATGGTTTTAAAATACCAAACAATTTCTTTCGATTAAGATTCCAAATTCTGCATCTTCATTTGGATTTTACGAGTAAAATTGGTAAGTCGTGGTCCCAGTTAGGTACTGTACTTTACATGAGTCACACATCACTATTTACAATTAAAATTATTAATTTAATTATACATCAACCATCTCATGCTTACTTGAGGATATTGAAAAGAAATGTTCGTAATTCCAATAAAGTTCCCAATGTCAAATTCTTTCTTTCATTTATTACGTAAAGCCGTTCGTCACACGCAATGTGCATATGTTACAGGAATTCACGATATTTTGAAGTACATCCGCGTATTTAGGAATGACGCAGAAATGCCATTCCTTAAAAATTAATGATCGCATGAAGGACTTTGGAACAAACCCGTAATTAAATGTTGGAGATGAAACTGGTCACTGATTTTCTTCTATGTTTAGGATATGAGCAAGAAAATCGACCACAATGAACGTCATCCTAAATTGTCGACCCCCCGATGAGCATTATTCCAATCATTTCATAAATACTCGGGAAAACTAAATACGTGTTTGTACTTGGTACTATCGAATGTTCCAAGTTCTATGAGACACCCACTTATGACACTTCTTGGTCGCCAAGTACCGTAAGGTACATGATACTAACAATAAACCCAAAGAGTCCAACTTGTGACATCGCTTTCACCACTCCGAGGCACACGGTTGTTTCGATGTCATCACTTCATAAACGCTCGGGAAAACTAAAGATGTGTTTGATACTTGGTCCTATCGTATTTCCCACAGGGACATCCACTTATGACACTACTCGGTCGCTCAACTCTCATAAGGTACATGGCACTAAGAAACTCCAAAGCAAGCTGGTCGCTTTTGCCACCCCGGGGCACACGGTCGCGCGTCGCGTCGCGTCGCGTCGCAACGCGGTGGCGGTGGCGGTGGCGGTGGC